TCATGAACAACATGATAGGTGTCAACATACTTTTATAACTCTGGTTCAATTAATCAGTCTTTATAGGCAGAGCTTCTTTGTGTTACAGGCAGCTTACACAATCAAATTCTCTAAAACAAGTTAATGATTTAATGAATACACTAAATGAGTTTGCAATTTAATTTGAAAAAAGCCAATTTTGATTCAAACAAAAAATTAGTCAAATAAAAAAAGTTTAAAAGGCAAAGCTGAAACAAAAAAGATTGTAAAATAAAAAAATCGGAGAGATTAAACTACATTTCAAAATTCCACAACTCAATCCATATAAATTTTTACATTTTTCGAAGACTTTCTACAATTAGAATATAAAAAATAAGGTGAGATATCCATTTATCCTGCCACAAATATCTAACACAATTCAAGGAACATTTTGTTTTCATATGGATTCATGCACATCTCTTTCTTTTTTCTTTTTCCTCTTCCAACCATCATTCCATTATCATCAGTCGCCCTCCTCCTATCAGTCTCTATTCAGACAAGGTTGAAGTGCGAATTGGACATCTGGTGCTATAATGTCTCTGACAATACGGGAGACACCCCAGTCACCCTTCTCCACCACCCCCTGATGAACATAAACAGACATACAAACGCAGCCTGAGCACCCAAGAAAAAAATAAGAAGCTGAGAGGATCAAGAGGAACTAAAGGGGGGGAAACAGGAGAGCGGGAGAAATGGACAAAGGTATCCTTCTCGACTTGGAAAGAAAGGAAACTGAATGAACATTAGGGGGAAACGATGATGCGGCTCTATTCAAAAAGAGGCAACATGCAAGCACAGCTTTGTGCCCATTTATATCCTCCATCAGCTCTCAGACTGATGGAGGAGGCTAGGATGTAGACAACAGACCTGTCTGTATTTACACAAACTCTGAATGTACTCTCTCAATCTACCTGAAATAAAGACTCGGCAGACAAAGACGAATCCAAGCTGAAATAAATCTGCATGCATCAGCTATGCAGGTGCTGAAATAAGAATGCAGGTATGCATGTGTGACTCACAGCTTTAACCTGAGACATGAAGAGCCTGACTAAGCAGCCTAATCCAATTCAGAATTTTTGTTTATTTATAACGAGCCTTACAAATCTTTTACAAACAAAATAATGAATTTACACTTTCAGTAAGAAAACTAGAGCAGAGATTTGGAGATTAAGATTTTTTTTTCTTTTTCTGTGAATTATCTGGGACGTTAAAGCAACCAATAAAATAACTTAAGCTTATTCAGAACACTTTTTTTCCCAACCAGTTAATCTCCTACAACACAACTCATATAATATTTGCTCTCATTACACAAAGTCACATCTACAGGGATTTACACCATTGTTTGGTTGCATTTCCTATGTAGATACATCTATCATTCCTTAAATCGAAGGATAAATACTATTTGCATACATCTCGTTTGATTGTTATTTGTTTCTTGTGAACATCAGGTGGAGAAGTTCATTTAGTTTAAATGTTTGTAGGTCCCTGAAGTCCACGGCTTCGCTGATTCTACATATTTGTTTTTCATCCTTTTGAGATGTTGGCAGATACTGCCTAAGCATGAAAAAGAAAAGAAGAATGGTAAAAAGCTTCAGAGAGGACCGGCTCTCAAAGGAGCTACTGTATACCTGCATTAGAAATAATAAAAACATGCAGGTAATCCCACAAAAGGGTCCAACACTTTCCTTTGAACTTCAAAGAATGCAGGCAACAATTAAAAGCAACATAGTAGAGAATGCAAACAGAAAAATATGATAACAAAGAAATATTTTGTCTCATTATCTTAATACCCAGACTGTGGTGGAAATTTGGGAGTGAATTAGAAGGGAACTTTAGAACCTAGCAAGTCTGGGTTTACCTCATAATATTGAAGATTTAGTCTCCCAGTAACAGATTTCTTGTTTGTTTTTGTTTGTTTGTTTGTTTTGCTTGTTTTTTTCCCCCTACAAACACAAAAAGTAAAAGAATTAAATCTTTGTGTCTTTATATTGTAGCCCACAAACACATTTGATACACAATAACTATAATTGCTGGATTTTTACTCAGTTGTGTCGTTAGGACTCTAAAATTTAAGGTTTTTTTTAGGAAACACTGCTGATCTTTGAGGAATTTACAGCAATAGTGTTTTTAGGCCTCCAATCCAGGTTCTAGACAAGTTTAAAAAAGGCCAAAGGGTCCCTCAGAATAAGAAAAACACTTAGAAATACTTGGGGTTAGGGTTCTGTTCTAATAAACACAGCTCTAGAAAATTTAGGTCACATTTCTCCAATTTGCTCAAAGTACATTTTGAGCAGCAGCCATTTTTCAATCATCTATGGAACTCTAAAACTATTTGGGGGCCGTCCAACTAAGACATTATAAATGAATGGAAGAGAATGTCAGCGTCTTTGTTAGACTGGATGGACCTGATCTTATTTATTCTACTGAGATCAAAAAGGACACCCTCAACAACTCTTAAATGTTCTTGTCAAACACAAGGGTCTGATTTTAAATAAAAGAAAGTTTTTTTTTTAGATTTTATTTTGTCAGTTCACTGGACAACACAGCTGTCTAGAGAAAGAGACACATTTTCAAACAGATAATGCCATTTATGAGGTCTAAGGATCTTCATCTCTGCGTTTGCAGTGCCAAAGAACAGAGAATTCTTTGAAAACCAATTCCTAACAACAGAAAGACAGATATCAAGTTTGGAAAAATTAGACCTATAATTAAAGTTACAGGCACACATAATAAATAATAATAATAATAATAGTAAAACATCATGATAACAGTGGAAACCAATTCCAAAACAATGCTATAATTGCTCCAGTGGTGCAAGATAAAAGACGAGAAGCAGGGAAACAAAAGAGGAAGCTTGTGGAACTCCTTGTGTGACTTTACAAGGCTCACACAGAACATTATTAACCACTTTCAGCTCTGGGATATAAAAAAGGACTTCGGCCACATCAGCATCTTGTTCAAGATTCAGAAATAATGTTTACGCCACTGATGTAAGATAAAATGATCGACCATCTCAGAGGCACCAAGGCGCAACAGCAAGACTTCAAGTCAGTCAGAGTCAATATTTAACAAAAAGTCAATAACCACCTTTGTCAGCGCTGTCTCCGCATAATGATCTTTTTTAAAAGTGAGATCATTTCCTGTTCACTACTGAATAAGCTAATTTAAAACCACTTTTTCAAACACATTTGCTAGAACAGTTGTGTTTAAAATAGGTCTGAATGTGACTTATTTAAAAAAAAAATAGTTTAACCACTGCTGCTTTCAAAAAGTGCAGTAAAAACTCCCATATACAGGGCATAATTTAAAATGGATCAGATGTATGGGCCAATTTTGGTCTAAAGGTCCTTAATAACTCATTTAAAGAGGATCTAAGTAACCGGTTGTTCAACGTTTTAATCTAACAGTCTAAAATAGACAAAGAGGGGAGCTAATAATAAATTACTTCTTGCCATTCTGCTCCTAGGAGGAGAAGAAGCTATTAACATGTCACCATGTGGAACCTGGGGAACTTCCAGTCTTATGTCCTTAACCTTGTTATAAAAAATAAGGAAACATGTTTGCAGTCATTTTAGAGCCGCTGACCACTGTAAAACCAAAACAAAAAAACACATAAATCAAATATGAACTCATTTCAATGAAACGCTGCATCTTCAGAATCCAGCACATCCCAAAAAAACAAGATTAAACTGCTCAGTCAAGTTATCCACAGAAAAAGGTTACCAAAAACTGCTTTTATTGAGAGAGATAATCTAGTACCAGTCATGGTACTAGACATACTGATAACCAACATAGATTAAATATCACTATTTCACTACCAGAAACCGATGGGCCTGATCTTCAGAAGATTTGTAAGTCTTATTCACTGTGAAACTGACATTGGAACATGCGATCTGCTCATTTTATTGGAGCAGGATAAAAGACGCTATGTGGATCACCCACATAAGGCCCAAATATTGCAAACACTTAACAGAAATTCCATGTGCATTTCAGCTCCTTATTTGAAATCTTAAAAGTTTAGACTTATTGAGTTTGGAACAGAGATAAGACACAGAGTTCTTTACCAAAAACAGACAGTTCAAGGCCTAAAACAGGAGCCAAAGGATGCCCATGACGATAAATTAAAATTATAAATGATATTTAAAAAAATCTTAAATTTAACTTCTCAACTTAATTACTGAAGGTATATCTATATTTCAGTGCAGCTAAATTACAAATTAAACACATAAAAACATGGCTATAACATGTATAATATTATATAATAACAATATTTTGCATAATTCAGTCATTATGTCTGAAAGTAGTATAAAGAAATGAAACTTATTTAATGATAAACCTTTTTAGTGAATGAATATCAACATCTCTTACAATTAAAAGCTTGACTTCTCTCCAGAAACAGCAAGTATCCCTTCAGTCTGACACCATCTCTTACAGATCCTTCTCCAATAAAGGAAAACCTACTCCCAGCTAGCACAGTTCCTGCGGTACTAATGCAAGAAAGAGAGGACATGTAGCGGTCCTCTTCTTAGCACTGGCATGATGAAAACTTTCCACTGTTAACATAAAACAAAAGAGAACTAGATATGAAAAAGAAAAACAAAACAGGTGACGGAAAACCACAACAAAATGTGCCATCTTCTTTGCCAGGGGAATAAGATGACCATAACACGATTGTCCATTTTCCATTGCCAGTCAAATGCCTGGGGCTGTTGAAGGCCCGGGCAGCATTTCCAAACATATCTACCAGGGGTAATTTCACTTTCCCAGAGCTTTGGTCCCTCTACAGACTCAGTACTTTCTGGGCTTGTTAAGGGTTGGGTTGTGTACAAGTGCAGTCTTTTGTTCCAACGGCAGCAGCAGAAACTGATCAACACAAATAAAATATAAATACGTCCCTAATGGAGATAGCTTTTCTCAAGTGTGCTTAAAAACCAAAAAAAAAAACCAAATTCAGTTTAGAAAGGAGAAATGAATACTATTACCTCTCCAAGAGCCTCATAACGTTTCTGGTTCCAGCGGTGGAGATCTTCTCTGGCATTAAACACGAAAGGTTCACCTGTTTCTATGTGCCGGAGCTGGCCATCTATGACAGACAAAAAAAACAGTTAGGATAAATACATTCTGCCCAACAATAATAATAAGTGAGGTTTGACAATGCTGGGCAGCTGCTATTCATGCAACTGGAACCTTTTCCTTCCGGGCCCATCCTGTTCAGGTCTTAGCTGGTTGATTCACATATAAGTGTACTTCAGTAGAGATGGCCGTTCACACAGAGCATTAAAATGCATCTTGAGTGATAAACTCTCTGCTGCGGGCAAACCATCAATAGATTGAACCATTGAAGAGGACGAGGTAAAGCATTTGTTTTATTTGTAGATCTGAAGCCCTTTATTTCAGATCTCCAGACCCCAAATAGAACAAGCATGTCCGCTACAATCTCAATTCCAACCTGAAAAATTTGTACACCAAATAACCTCAAGGTTAGAGAGAAATACGGTGATGAAGGTTGCAGATCTGAGATAGTTAGAATTTTAAAAGGTGATATTTAATTAAACCTCGACCACATGTGTTGCATTTGTTGCCATTTTCTCTTTTTTTTTTGTTTGGATGAAAATTAAAAATAACTGTCTTCCAAACAGCAAGTAGCACCACAATAATCAGTTTATTTCTTTTAATTCTGAAATAGAAAGCATTCAACTAGGGATGCAACTAACAATTATTTTGCAAATCGATTAATCTGTCAATTATTTCTTTGATTAATAATCGAATAACAAAAGATTCCTTCAAGAAGACTTTTTATGTAATTAAACCAGGTGAAACTAAAACTTTTCCACTTCAGGAGTTCTGAATAGAGCATATTGACAGATGAGAAAGTTGTTTTTTATCCTAAATTTTTACAATTTTGGTATAATTGCTGCTCTAAGTGGATCACTCAGTCAGCTAAAGGTATGTTTCAGTGTCTCTTTACTCTAATTTAATCGATTACTAAATTAGTTGACAGTTTTCTCAATAACTGATAAATCACGATGGCTCGGATTTAGTTATTTCAGCCCTTCCATCAACAGGGGTGTAATGAATCCCTTATTTGCTACGACCTCAAACTTAAATTACAAATATACAGTATTTTACAGGCAAAATACCAGAGAGATATGGACCTTCACAGTCCTCAGTGTCATCACACAGATTCTCAGGATTATTTCCTCATAAAACGTTCTACATAATAAAAAGTTTTATTTCTTGTTGGGTAACAGCGCCCCTACAGAGAGTAGGCTATCAAGTTGAATATTGGAGCAGTGGGCTATGTTGTTTATTTAATCAACTTCTAATGTGGCAAACCAATTCTAACTTTCTTCCCTCCATGGTGCATGTTTCCACACTGTTTCTCCCTCTGTGGTTGTGCCATTTATCTCCTTCCTCCCTTTTCAGGCTATGCCAGTGCAGTTTACCAGTGGTGCTTCTTTTAACCAAGAGGCACTGTGTGGATTCCCCAATTATGACGAGGGATGGGTATCGAAATCCGGTATCAAAATGGCCCCGTGGCCTAGTCCGAACGTCCACTTGGACCAATAAACTTCAGCCTTATTGGTCCTCTTAAGCCGGGATTACACTCTGCCACCTTTTGGCTAATTTTGAGAGGGTTTTCCACTCACACAGCCAGTTTTTGGATCGGCCCGATTTTTGTCTCAAATGTGTATCATGCCTTGTATAGTCTACAAGAGGTTATGAGGAATGATGAGCAGTTTAAGACTAGATCCCAATCAGAAATTGGAGGTCGATTTCCATGTTGTTTGTTTTGTGGAGTTATGTTTTTAATCACCATTTTCTTTTTCTTCTCTTTTCTCTCTTTCCATCTCTATCTCTCTACCCTAAATTCTTATCCCCCCCTCCTTTCTCACCTCCCTTTCCCTCTCCATGTGCGTTGCATATGATTTTATTCTCTAAACCATTTCTAATAAATGTTCCTACATAATCACTGAGCGGGACCTTATGGCAACAACCATAATGGTCTCCTTGTGAAAGCAAATCTGTTGGGCAATTATCTAGCTCTGGGACATCAATTCTCAGAGCTATATTGGCAAAACAGAACATAGGGGGAAAAAGTAGAAATCATAAGTTGGAGTAAAGAGGAGCCGCACAGCTCAAGTTAACTGGACTCAGATAACATCCAAACCAGCAGAGCAATGGATTAAAGATAAACCAAAGTGAGCCAAGGAGTCGCCATATAAAGAAGAGATTTCAACCATGCCTGGTTTTATCCGTCTTTGCTTCCTAAATCACATACCAGGGGACAGCACTCGGGCCGCTGAGTTTGTAAATAGTTTACAAATAGCCCCAGTTTGTAAAAAGCCAATCCAAGAAGGCTTTTTCACTCAGTAAATTGTTTAAAAACAGTTTGAGTGAGTGAGCCATTTCTTTGTTTCTCTGGATTAAATAGACATTTTCTATTACATCTTTTTAAGTTCCTATTTACCAACTTATATTTGTATATACAAAATGCCCAAAAGAGATTCACCAGGCTTGAAAATGTACACACACACTAAAACCCTGGAGGATCGAATAATCCTGAAATGTGAAGGATTTGAACCAGTTGTTCAACAGGATTGATTAGACGTCCATCTCTTCCCCTGCCTCTGATGATACAACACATATCATATTTTATGCCTGCCTGCTTTTCTTTCTAGAACTTTATCAAACAGGACTGGAGTTATGCTTTTTCCAGGGAGGCTCAGAGTAAACCCTACACATATATATATATAGCCCTAAGACGGCTGAGATCTTAGGGCAACCATTTAGAGGTTAGGTCAACTTATCAGGAAGGTCAGCTCTGTCACAGGAGGCCTGCTGCATGAAGTGCTGGTGGTAGGAGACTGAAAAACTCCAGGAAAAATAACACACAGTGCTATTTTTCCTAGAGTCCAATGACAATGTCTCCCATCGAGTGAATTAAACTGTAACCTCTTATGGCTGATTTATACTCAGAAACCAGACCGTCTGCGTGTGTGTCGCAGTGAATGCAAATGTGCCCCCGCCCCTGCTGCAGACATTTTAATGCACCTCTCCAACTTTCCACTGTTAACATATAACAAAAGAAAACTAGATATGAAAAAGAATAACAGGCCTCTGATTGGTCAATTCTACATCCGCTCTACTGTATGCATATTTCCTGATTGGTACCTTACCAGCTTGTTTTCTTTGTGCGAACAGCATTGCGGAAAACAACTCCTGAAGTTGGACCAGCTAGAAGAGTGAGGTGCACGAGAACGCTAGAACCATTTTTCCACCTGGATCCCCACTCTTTTTCACCCTCTTTGCCGCTTTGCACAAACTTGCCTCTTGTGTTTTTTTCACTTACTCACCGCCTCGGCCGTATCTAGACCCCCAGCTAGTTCGTGATTGTCCCTCTTGTGTTGTGGCGTGGAATAACATAGTGCAGACCAAGCTTCAAAATCCGGCATAATTAAAAAGTAGTGAGCTTGATCTGAGCTTGATCTGCGACAAGCTCACTGCGACACACTGCTGGGGGGGAGTATAACCAGCCCTTTACACTGAACGACTGCTGCACCCTCTGTACACAAAGCTGTGTTATCACAAATCCTTCCTCTCAGAAGCTCTTACACTATGTAACCATCTCTTTTTCTAGATTTAGTACATTCTTTACGCCTAAAATCCCCCAAATCAGTTGCAATTTTTATTCAATATGAGTATGCAGCTTTTAATATTTATACATTATTTTATTTTGTAAACCATTTACCTATTTGCTGCTGGTACACCTGAATTTCCCCACTTTAAAACAGTTAAGGATAGTTCTATTCTATTAACTAAAAAACAGTAAGAAACAGACATTCTTTAGACGTTCAGGTAAAACCTTTGATAGTCATATTAGATACATTTCTTTTTTTGAGGCTTCTTCTTTCCATAATTCTTCCGACAGTAAACCTTAGAATATTATTTTTATATTCTATTGTTCCATGGCTGTATCTACATCAGTTCATATCTCATGTTTTAATGCATCTAAGGACAGGTTTCATTCAGGCTTCTAACCTGTTAAAGATGAATGGAAACACCCCAGCATAAGGAAATCCTCCTGAAAATAGAGCTCTGTCTAGACAGCAAAAGGATGACTGTTGGTGCTGAACACAAACTGATCCTTTTTTCCCTTTTCTCTTTCACTGCAACCTTGGCCATTATTTCCTACTTTACTTTGACATCAAATAGTAATTTGGCTGGTGCCTTTTTTTAACAGCAATGCCTGCAGACTAAAGACAGTGCAGAGCAGAAAAATCAGAATATTATAAAAAGTGGGCTGGCATACATAAAATCTTTGCTCCCATCATTTCCTTTAAGGATGGGGGCAGCCCGAAGGTCAAGGTAACATGTAAAAAGCTATGACTGACTTTGTGAACATGTAAAAACTGTTACAACTGAGCGACAGTGGGAAGGTCTTGAAACATAGCCTACAGTCTTTATTTTAATTCAGGGCAACAAGAACAGTTTTTTAGAACATTAAAGGTTTTACTCATATAAAAACTCATAAAATAAGAAAATGCTGTTCAGAGGTGGTGCTACTTTTTTAAACAATTACCCTTCTGCGACTGCAGAGCCCATACCTTAGCAATGAGCCCATCGATCCTGCAGTTGACACTACAACACAATAAAACACTAAACCATGTTAAATTAAATTTTGACCTTTATGACTGCAAAGTTTGTGAGCTAAATGACAAAAAGTACACATACTTAACCCAAATAGCCAGGGGGGCCTCATACTTTCTCAATTATTGCACAATGTGAGCATATAAACATAATATCTCTGCAAGATAAAGGAATGCATGAAGATTTTTTTTTTATTTCCTTCTAAATTGCCACCATTTCACACCTCTATCAATGTGATAAATCTTACACTACTCACTTACTGTGTATTACAGCACTTGCTTTCATGGTTAGTTGTTAGATAACATGTAATTCTTGAATCTAGGCCTGGTATTATGTTGTATTTAGAAATACATTTATGCCTGAGAGGTAAAGCAGGAGACAAGTGAGAACTTGGTATAAAGCAATGTGTGCACAAATAGTACCTTGAAGAAA